TCGCTCTTTAAAGCACGGGATCCCTATAATTGGCAGGGATCTACTTAGCCGTGAAATTAAGCTGCGGCTAAGTTATGCAGGTCCGGAAAATAAACCCGGAACCCAAATTTCCCATGTGACACTAGGAAAAAGATCTTTTATCTGATTCAGCCCTTCTGATCGACATATCATTTTAATAAAACGGCTTAAACATGAGTGCCTAGAAAAAAGATATTTTATCTGATTCAGCCCTTCTGATCGACATATCGGGCGTTCAATTATTTAACGAATTATTATATAATTGAAAGCCAATAATATACTTAAATAACAAGATCCTTGACAGCACTCCTATCGTATTTGCATAATTTATCATCACTATGAATGTATTAAAACGTTTAAAATCAGTTTTAAACCATACAAACAAGATTTTTAAAAATGATTCACTAAATGACCCCGAACCTGAACCTATATCTGACAATGATGATGAAATAATGAAAACTGAAAACCAATGGCTACATTCAACCTATAAAAACTTTCTACAATACGCCCTTCCTAAATTACCTTTTATCTGTTGAGAACCTTTTAAATTCTTTTGGCATAACCTTGCTAAAATTAAGCATAAGATTATCGAAGTAAACCAATTAGAGGAAGAAATTAATGAAGATAGAATTAAACATGCTAGAAAAGTTAAAGCTCCTAAATTTCAATACCTTAAAAACCTAGAAAAAATCGATTTTTCAGAATTTGAAAAAGAACAATCTAAAGAGCTTAACTCACAATATGCTAAAAATCTTAAAATGCATGTAGATAAACTCTATAAAGACCACATAGAAAACCTAACCAACTTTGTTAATTCAATAGGTAACGAAGGACATCAAATTCAAGAAACAATAGAATTTCCTTTCAAAATAAGCCTATACAATAATCCTTTCTCTGAAGCCCAAACTTTATTCAATAATCTTTATGCTGAAGGCCTAATCGTACTAAACAATTGTTTAGAAAAAACAGAGAAAAAAAGAATTGAAAAACTCTCAAAAAATAAACAAGGAATACAAGAAACTCTAGGAGACGTTATTACTGAAAGAATAAAAGCACAAATTGGAGTTTTTTTAAGCAAAAACAACTTAAAAACTATGGAGGATTTAGATAAAAAATCAATAACTCAAAATCTCGCTCTAAATCTAGGTCTAAATCCAGATCTAAATCCAGATCTAAATCTAGAAACCGGTCAAAATCAAACAATCCCTCTAAAAATGTTACCAAAAAGTTGCTGCTAAACACCGAAATCACTCTTATAAAGAATGTAGAAACAAATAATCACATTTTCAAAAAGCCGTGACCACCACACGGCAAAAGACCTCAACTTCAAAATCGACCTCAACCTTAAAGTCGACTGTTGACGAAATAGATTACATTATGTTTCATAATTAGTAAGAGGTTAAAAAATCTTGTTTGTATTTTTAAATTTCAAAATCAGAAAATGAAAAAAAGAGCGTCGGGATTATAAATCATTTACAAATAGATATACACTTAAAATATAATATAATTTGTAAGTCACTTGTTTCGAAATAAATTTCAGGTGTCGAATCATTGCTTTGGGTGGTGATTTAACCCTGTTCACTCATTTCCCCACGCCTATAACCAGTGTTGTCGTTGGACAGCCTTTGGACATAATCTTGGACATCTTGGACATTTTGAACAAAAAAATAAACTGAATTTACTCAAAATTTTATTAAGATAATCTATTTAAACTTCTTAAGCAAAAATGTTTAGAATTAAAAAAAGAATATAATCATATAATTTTTATTTTAATTACTAAAATATTTAAGGCTATAGACAGCTTGGACATTTTGGACACTTGGACGTTTGGACGTTGGACATGTCCAAAAAAGCTTTGGACATGCCAAAATGTACAACACTGCCTATAACCTTACCAAATTGTGCCATTCCTTAGCGATATATATAACTTAATAAATATACTGCATAACATAATCGAAATGACTAAATCAGGTGCTTTATAATTATCGAAAATGTGTATAGAGTACATTATTGAAGACAAACTTTGATGTCTTGAAATAACTTTGATATAGAGAATAGATATTTGCTTGTTAATATTAAAGAAATAAACTTTTATGTAAAACTATCGCGGATTATCCTCTTGTTTCTGATTAACACTTCTGTAGCATTCTTTTCATAATATTTATCACCCGTTGTGCGATACCATAACTTGACTCGAATCCTTCAAAAAAATCAATAAAAAAAAAAAAAAGATGTTAAAATAACGCTATAGTATCAAAAGTATGCATAATTCGATTCTATTTACCAGCACCCCCATGACCATAATTGTGACAAATGAGAACTTTTTTACCGGATTCTCTAAAAGCTAAACAAAAGAACCGATAAGAATAATGTGGACATGATAAATTCAATTAAATATTACAAACATATACACACTGGTCCATTCAGCATCGACCCTTACACCACCCTTACGACAAGGTCGAAAACCAACTATATGCTCCTTAATTGTTAGTTGAGGTTGATCCTTTGGTTTGAGATCAGGGCGAACAGCGAGACATCGTCGAATAATTCCTGTAGCTATGTCATAATTAATATCTGTCGAACTTATTTATTTTATGAAATATAATCAGTGCCTTTTAATGAAGAAAAAATATGATATTTGCCCATAATAATAATCATCTTACTAGTTATGCTCTTCCTATAATAGGAGAATAGGTATAATTAAATGAAAAAAAAATGAAAATTCTAATTCAACCAAGCACTTAAAAGATGGTCAATGCTTACATAAGTCCCACCAAGAATGACTTCACCATTGTCACGCGGTATTGCATACGTCATTTCTACATTTTTACATTAAGAAATATAAATCTAATTTGGCACTTAAAAGCATAATTAAAGTTCAAGCATACCAGGCCTTTTATCACCATGTACAAAAAAAGCCCAATTCTGTGGTCGAGGAAACTGTGCGACTACCAGTTGGCCCCTCACCGCATAAACCTTAGGGTCTTCAACACCCTTTAATGTTCTGGCATGAATGCCCGAACAATTTATTACAACATCGGTTTCACTTCCAATACATTCAAGTAAATGAGATAAATTGACGCGTTGCGTGGTGCCACCCAATAAGGTGAAAGTATTGAGAAGGTAATTAAGATAGGTATGTACATTAATAGAAACTTTTACAGTAGAAATTATCACTTAGTTTTGAAATCATAAATAATTATGAAACTTTTGACTTTAAATAGAGAGATTTATATAATATTACTCGTTTTATATGCGATTCCAAACTCGACGCCATCCGGAAGTTCTTCTTTTCGTAAATGTCGATACTATTCCATAACAAAGAGTTTTAATAATAATAATAGATAGATCTTACTATCAGGCGTACCGATGATTGTGGAGGAAATTATTTAACTACCACATAGTGTCAATTAATTGCAATTTTTATAACAAATTATCACGCTTTTAAGAATACCTTGGCAAAGAAATCCGAAAATTTTTATAAATAAATCTAATTAACTTGTCTAAAAATAAAAATCATATAATTTCTCTAGTAGTGCACTAGAACTGATAGTTTGGCAAAATAATATAATGGGAATTCTGCGAATTTTTATTTATAGACAAATTATTAGATTTATTCATAAAAAAAGTGCTAATTTCTTTATAATATACGATCATTAGGTGTTCAGTAATTTGAAAAGCGATTGTTATGATAATTTTCTTTCAGTTACATCAAGAATAGAAATATTTAAAAGATTGCAATTATTTTTTTTTAATTAATTTATCACAATTATTTTTTATCGGAGATATAAAGAATTGCAATTAATTGTTCGGCACCTCTGCAATTAATCTTACAATACCTCATGGCATAATGTTTTGTACCACGGCTCTGAGAAATCTTGAAGATTTCTCCAATATTCGAATTCATCAATAATCATAATCCCTGTTTCATTTTGCGATGATTTAGCGCAATTCCAAAAATGGTTGTATGACACTGTATCAGATTCTTTTAGATAATACAAAATGTTACCAAATATTTTCGTGTCATAATAATATTAAACCAAAAGTAATAGATTACGGATAAAGCTTATCTATCTTCATACCTTGCTGTGTAGTGTCATCCTTAGCATGGCTCTTCCAGTTTGCACCAGCCCTATAATATAAGCATATAAGACTTCGATATGGTATTAAAACTTATGAATAATATTATATACCAAGGGCTGACGAAATCGCTAGATAAATCCCCTGGGAAATGTTTCGCAACTAGATGAACTTTAACCCCCTTTTCTTGCTGCAAAAGCAAAATGGCTGTAGTTAATCCCGAAACACCTGCGAAGTTGGGTGAATTTTAATAAATTTATTGTTAAATTTCAAAAAAGTTATAGTTTATTTATTATTCCTACCTGCTCCAAGCACAACGATATGTTTATTCATCATATAAATTTATTCATCGTTTTTTAGGTCTTATGCTGTTATATATAAACCATTCTGGAAACTATTATCGCTATCGCTATACGTAGTCATTTTACTTATCTGTGCCCATAATTAAATTCCTTAAAAGGAAAATAGCCAATCAGAGAATGCCAACTTTGCCTATACGTATTTACTTTTTGAATCACGAGTACAAATAAATAAAGCCATAGTCAAATGAATTATCGTTTTAGAGAGTTGATTTTGCATTTTGAAAATGATTTAACCAAGTATTTTTAAGGAAATAATATTATAGAGATAGTATCATGGCGTAGCGCTAACAAAACTTTTTTATTATTATTAAGGTTGCCTCCTTGGCCAATTGGATTTTATTAATTTTCTATTACGGAGTCACGCATATAGTAATATTCTAAGGTTTATAATTACATGATGAGTATACAACAAGCCATATATACAATTTTGGTTATTGTCTAATTTAAATAGTTTATCTCACAGATATTAGATTATCTATTTAGTTCTACATTATGTTGTCATATCTGTAACTTGATTATTAATTTATTTTTTATTTCAAATTAACTTTATCACTATATTTAATTGTTTAAGTTAGTTAACTTGCTTATAAATTTGTTTTCACATAATTTAGGTTTTTTCTGAATATATATTATCTAATATATTATGAGTATGTAGAGTTCTAATTAATCTCAGAAATGATTTTTACTAGAGTGATCTTGTACTTATTTTACAGATTTACCTAGTTTAGATCTTTGTAGTATTTGTATAATTCTAGATTCTATTATAGTTCTTTACTAGTTAATTAATCTAATTCTTTTCTAATATTTAGCTAATTATCTTATTCTTCTATCTAGTAATCTTAAAATCTTTTACTTTTATTAGCTTGAGTTTTCTTTTCAAATTAGATTTTAACTAATATAGTTCTATTAGAAGACTAAATAATTTTACTAACTCAAGATTTCTACTATGCAGATCTTCTGCTTATCTATTCTATTAAGATTTCTTTATAGAGGTCTGGTGATCTTAGTGTAGTGGTTAAGTTATCAGACTGCTATACAAGAAGTCTAGAGTTCAAATCTTAATATCAACAGAATTGAATAATTACTTAGACATCTGTATTCAACTTATAGTAAACTCTGCTTGTTTCTGGGGTTATAACCTTATAAATCATGTTGTACTAATACTAATTAGGTATTGGAAGTGTGATAGGGCATTTAGGAAGGTGTAATATTACATAAATAAATCTTGATAAGATCTATGAGCAGAGGATCTGCATAGTAGAAATCTAGAGTTAGATGAAGTAATATGAATTTTGATAGTTATACTAGTTAATATTTGATCCGAAGAAGAAAATTTGCATATAAAAAGATTAGTAACTAAGATACAAGTAAGTCTGTTAAGAAACCTATGTATGAAAAGATCAGTGGAAGGAGTGCGTTTAAGTCTATTACACAAGGTTGTATAGAATACCAACTTAGCTTGGTAGCTAACTAGATTTGGGAGGATCTGTTCCATATAATATCTAGAGGTATAAATGACTTTTAGCAATACTAATCTGAGTAGTAATCAGATTTGGGAGTACCTATCTCATGTGATATCTAAAGGCACAGATGACTAATCTAGTAAAAAGCTATAGTAAGAACTAGGTTTGTATAAATATTAAACAAGAGTATATGCAAACTAGATTGGAATATAGTATAGTATAGTTGGATACTATAGCACTCTATTGATTAGAGAGTTGGTGAAGGGGTATCTTGTAATAGGACCTAGGCTCTGAATTATAAAGTTTGTAGACTAATGTCAGCTCAGATGTCTTCTAAAAAGAGAAGTAGCATGGGGTTAGGTAAACTTTGGTAAAACAAAGATAGAATACAGATAAGTGTTATAGGACCAAAAAGTTTAAATAGATAATCTTCAAATAGATTTCAGATATAGTAACTAATATAAAATCTTCAGGCGGACTACTTAAATTAGACAATCTAAAGTTGTACATATGGCTAGTTATACTCTCACAATATGTATTATTTACTCACTATCAATACCAATAAAGCTTCAGCTGATAGCATTTGTATAAAGTAAAAAAAAAAAAAAAAAAAAATTATTAGCAAAGCTTATTTCTTATATTGCCTACCTATTCTATAGAACATCTAGCACTTGACTTGCATTATCAGGTTTTTGCTATCTTTTATTAAAAAGTAGTTTATTCCTTTCTATTTTTTTATTCTTTTCTATAGCTTCTTCTAATTATATTCATTGCTTTCTATCAAATTGTTTTTCCTTACATATACCTATTCAGTATTATTATACCTTTTTGATAGGTTTATTACAAATAATTTAACTGAATTTTTAATTTTATTTGATCTTTATAATATTTCATAGTCAATATTATTATTTTTAACTACTTTTAAGTCTAGTTGCACTCGAGACCTTCTTCTTTCTTTTGCTAATTAGTTAGCTTCTATATTTCCTTAGTCTTCTGCATGACTTTTAACTTTTTGTAGCTCTAAGTTAATACCTTTTTGCTTTAATAGTGCTACAACTTTCTTAAAGATTATTCTATTATTTGATCTAATCTATTTGTTATAACACTTAATATCATGTATCTTAGATAACTGCTCTATTGCTTGCTCACTATCTGTAAAGACTCTAACTGTTATGTTGCATTGCAATATTAAAAGTACCATCCAAATCTCTATGAGTTTAGCTTTAGTTAATATTGGCTAGTTAACAACTTTAAAATTTCTTACACTAACTACTTTATTTTCAATACTATCTATTTCTACTTATCCTATTCCTATAATTTCTTTGTCTACTCCTTTCTCTAGAGAACTATCAATATAAAAAACTATATCTTTATCTCTTCTAAAAGCTAATTTCTGTACTTCTTTTTTCAGTAGCTTCTTTATTTCTTCTCCAAGCTCTTATACTTCTATAATTTTTACTTCCTAGTTTCTTATTGGCTTAATTTCTATAAAGCTTCATTCTCTAATCTTATTTTCTTGCTGCTTTCCTACTTCTGCTATTGACTTTAACATGAAGTCTATTACCTTTGTCCCTCTATTTATATAGTTTTTAGATATTGCTCCTAAGACTTTCACTTTAGGTTGCTATAATTTGTATTCCTTGTATCCTCTTTCCTTATTCATTATATATTTTTTGCATTTAATAATTGCTTCTTGCCTCTGTTTATTTTCTTTGTTTTCCTAATGCTCTACTAGTATATTGTTTTTATTTTTCTTCCTTATTTATCTTAGTTTTCTTTTTTTGCTTAGGCTATCCTCAAAAATGATCTATTCTTATTTTCTTTTATCTGCTGATATCTTTTCTAGTATATCTTGTCTTCTTAAGAGGTTTACAATTCTAGTTTTATATTTATTTTTAACTTCTCTGCTCTTTTGGTTCTTTAATACTTTTCTTTCTATTTCTTCATACTAGCCTACTTTTTTTTTTTTTCTTAACCATTTTCTTGATGCGTTAAGCTGTTGCCATACTATTAAGTAGTTACCTTTTATATTAAGTAGCTACTCTAGTACTACTACTTTTATTTCTTATATTATTCTAGCTACTTTAATGAAAGTTTTCTTTTTTAGCAAATTTTTAATTAGCTTTCTGTTTACTTTAGTTGCCCAAATCTCTCTATTTGCTAATATTTCTAGTCCTATGTTTAAGTTTTCTTGAATTATTAAACATACTAAATTATTTTTAAGCAGTTTAACTTTCTTTTTACCTATGCTTTCTGTCTATATATTACTAGTATATCTTAGTAAGCCTTGCCCTTGCCTTATTCTTAGTTCTGTAATATTTCTGATATTACTTTTATTATTTAGTTTATTAACTAGACTTAATGTTTGTTTTGTTTTCAATATGTTCTATAGTATTCTCATGTTTAAAATTCTATTATGAGATATAATACAATTTGGTACAGTTCTAGCTAGATCTATTTTGTTCTTAGTAGTTATTATATATAGATACTGAATTCTTTCATATTCTTCTTTTATTAAATAGATATGTTGTAGCAGGTATTCTAGTTTTGGAATTAAACAAATATTGTTTATATACAAAACTTGGCTTACTAATACTAGTTTCTTTTTCATTAGATTAGTAAAAAGTCTTATTGTTTGTTTTGCTTTTGCTATAATTTGTTTTTTTTCAACCTTGTTCCCTATCCAAATATCCAAGAACCTGACAGCTTCTTTTTCTTTTGTAGAGTAAAACTCCTGCTTCTCTACTATAACTTTTTGTTTCTCAAGTTTTTTCTTTGTATTTATTATTACTAGTTTTAACTTGTTGGGATTTATTTGAATATTATTAAAGTTGAAAAATTCTTCTGCAATTTTAATTATCTTTTCAAGCTATTCTTTTGTACTCACTATTCAGGTTGTGTCATCTGCAAAAGCAATTACTACATATCTTGCTCTTTGTATCTCTTCTTTTTTCTTTTTAAGACTTGCTTGTCATAATACCTCTACTATATATCTTAAAGAAGGATCTTCTTATACTCTTGTTAGCAATGGATCATAAAAAATTCTCTATACTAAAAGTGATATTACCTCTCCTTGCTCTATACCATCTTCTGCTACTACTGCTTCTGTTAGTTCTAGTATAATAATTATTTTTGTTTGTCTTTTGTCAAAAAGCTTTAGTATGAACTTTCTTCTAAGCTAAAGAACTTTAATTCTTTAAAGTGCTAAATTAAGAGACTATAAGCTT